AAGAATTTCTTTCCATATGATTGAAGGGAGGAAGGTGAGAGGAACTTTCCTGACCTTGTAATGCCAGTTTTTAAATATAACTCCTATTTATTTTAACTACATCAGGTAATTAAGGGTATTAATGATGAGTGGTAATACTTGGTGTCAGCCTCGCAAAACAAGCTGCTGGGTTAGTGACTTCGTCGTCCAAGGCGCCAGAGATGCCCCAGGCGCAGCAGATTTAAAGTACTTGAGAGTACACTCTATGCGGGGGGGATGTCAGCTATTGCACGATAGTAAATTACTACGAAATAGTATATGGGACCATATCAATATCTTAAGATTTGAAACCAAGACATAGGCGATTAATCACGCCACTGATAATATTTTGGAGAGAGTGTGAGTGTATGTGATCTGACGTTGTGATGATCTCTGTAGTGCAGTACAGGTGCTCTAACAAAATTACGAGCAATGAACGTGAGAGTCAGTGAATAACTTTACGGAAAATGAACGTAGAGTTAAAGAAACCCATACCTGTGTCCGTAGGTACGTAGGTACTCTCAGCTGGAACTATACAAAAACGCTATATGTAATGCGTGCTGCAAAGGAGCTGCAACATCCTGATAGACTGAGTCAGATATTGACAAAGCGTAATGAGACCGTTAAGGGAAAGCTTACTGTTGCAAGAGTGCAGTCTTATGTTTAGTTAGTAACACCAAATAACAGTATCATAATCAAAACCAAGCACTAAACCCACAAGGGGTCATACAACGCTGCCAAAATAACCATAAATATGGAATATATCAGTCTGGTAAAAAAATATCTACCAGCCATTTACAAGATAATGTATGACGACAGCTGTGTGATCTGAAAAGTATCCCTGGATCCCAGGAGCCCAGCCCCGTCTATCGCAATGCTCTCAAAAGAAATAGTGCAGAGTGCAGCATATATTCTGAAGTTAAATATTTCAATACCTGAGTATTATAGACCAGTATTTAATATTCGAAGAATATTAAAAGAGGAATTTTCCAGTTACAGCACAATAACCAAAGCGACAAATTAAAATTTACATATCCCCAAATCAATGTGAGGCATAATTTGAAGAAACACATAAGAACATAGAAACATAAGAAAGCTGGAACAGTGCAGTAGGCCTACTGGCCCATGCGAGGTAGGTCTAAGTCACCTACCGGCTTATGACACTGACCCAACCTAGTCATGTCCAGGTCACATCCACTTAAGGAAGGAGCATGGCATCTGACCTACTAGCACAAGCTAGTCAGGTCCAACTCACACCCACCCACACCAACTCGTATATTTATCTAACCTATTTTTAAAACTACACAACGTCTTAGATTCTGTGATGGTACTCGGGAGTTTGTTCCACTCATCCACAACTCTATTACCAAACCAGTGCTTTCCTTTATCCTTCCTGAATCTGAATTTTTCCAACTTAAACCCATTGCTGTGAGTCCTGTCTTGGCTAGATATTTTTAGCACGCTATTTACATCTCCTTTATTCCTGATTTCCATTTATACACCTCAATCATATCCCCCTTAATTCTACGCCTTTCTAGAGAGTGCAGATTCAGGGCCCTCAGTCTATCCTCATAGGGAAGATTTCTGATACATGGGATCAACTTTGTCATCCTCCTATGTACGTTTTCCAGAGCATTCATATCCATTCTGTAATACGGTGACCAGAACTGTGCAGCATAATCTAAATGAGGCCTAACCAAGGATATATAGAGTTGAAGAACAACATGATTACTTCTATTATTTATACTTCTTGCTATGAAGCCAAGGATTCTGTTAGCTTTATTGCGAACACTTATGCACTGTTGTCTTGGTTTCAGGTTACTGCTAACCAGAACTCCTAAAACCTTTTAGCAATCCGTAATATTAAGATCTACATTATTTAGTTTATATGTGGCATGGTTATTTTCCTGTCCAACATTTATAACTTTACATTTGTCTATATTAAACTGCATCTGCCACTTTTCCGACCACTGCATTAGTCTATTCAAATTATCCTGGAGTGTTGTAGTGTCCTCATTAAAATGAATTGGACGTTTATGCAAATTGTGAACAACAAGGGGCCCAACTGTGGAACACCGCTTGTGACGTGCCTCCATTCTGATTTTTCCCCAATTGATGCAAACACTCTCCTGCCTATTTGTCAACCATGCCTCTACCTAGGAAAAAATTTCTTCTATTCCGTGTGCCTTAATTTTCCTCAATAGCCTCTGATGTGAGACTCTATCAGACGCCTTACTGAAGTCCATATACACAATATCATATTCATCACCATGATCATCCACCTTAAATACCTTAGTGAAAAAAGTTAGTAAATTCGTAAGGCAGGAACGCCCCTTTGTAAAACCATGCTGAGATTCATTAATCAATTTATGCCTTTCAAGATGGCTACGAATTGCCGCCTCCGTAATTACTGATTCCATAAATTTGAAGACAGCCAGAATTTGCATTCTTGAGTTACCGCACAAAATCCAACAGGTCTAAGTTTGAACAACTCCAAGACTGAGGGACTGATTACCTCATCTTTTGTGTATAGTTCTACTATCTTCTAATTATGTCCTAGAATCTGTATTGATAAAGCCACTGGATGGCGAAACGTCTACAATAAAGATATCCGGATGTTTGCACATGTGTCTAAATTTTCATATCCACGTCTAAGTTTATTAACTATGTAAATTTTCAAGTTTCCACCGACACAACTAACCATTTAAAATGTTTATCATTTTTATGAGACACATACGTGAGTCATTCAGCACAGACACACGTTATTGTATGATACCACTTAAAAAATAACACTGTCCCTATACACTCAATTAGCAATCTCAAAATTGTTATAGCAACAGCAGTGTTACAAGCTTGAAGGTCACCACAGGAGGACCTTTCTCGAGTCATCGCACGGAAACCCAAACTGCAATTAGTCTATATTTGATCCGAGAACATCCACACATTCCAAAATATGCGTGAACCTATTCCTAATTACAGTACACGAGTCGCTCTCGTGTTAGGAATAAAAACTTTAGGGGAAGAAACTTCAGGTTAATACGTCAAGGTACTCCTTCAAGGATACTTAACTATCTAATAGACAAAGTTTATTTAGGTACAAGGACATACAAAAATAGTTACACAAGTTATCATACATAGTAACGTGTGAAAATTACCCAGCAGGATAACCCAAAAATTTAGACAGTGACTTGTTTAAACTGAGGTCTTTGTAATTTCTTATTTAAACTTCAAGAGTTAACAGGTAACTCAACTGTGTGAAAAGAGTTACAAGAGAAGAAAATAAACTAGGTAGTAATAGGGATAATACTCGTGATCTGAATGACAAGTAAAATATAAGAGGAGCATTCTGTTTAAAGGAGTGTGGTAAAAGAAGGGTTCCCGGAGTACAGCAAGGTGAGTACACACACGAACGACCAGTTGGATGTGACGGTCATGGCTAAGCCGGAACCAAGACTCGTTGTTTGTGGGGCTTATCCTGGGGGGTAAAGGGGTTTGGTGGTGTTATCTGGGGAGCAGGGGGAGTGGGGCGGCTGGGTGGTGCGGGGGAGGAAGACCGTGGGAGCTGCCAGTAACCAGAGTTTGGGGAGGAAGATGCAAGAACCAGCCAGGAGCATGTCGCTGCCTCTGTCAGTGAGTAGCTGCCTGAGCGTCACCTAAGTCGAATTATGACCACAGCTTTGATAAGATGGGGAAGGAAGAATGATGGGTAACGATGGAAATGTGGGAAAAGGGGTGGGTGGAGGTAGGGGAGGTGAGGGAATAAAGGTAAGTGGCCTAAGCACTTTGGCACATTTTAGTACGTGTGTGTGTGTGTGTGTGTGTGTGTAGTCATGAATTCACAAAATTCAAAGAATGTGATATACCACTCTACCCATCAGCTTCACGCAGTTATAGCAGATCTATAACTACATAATGCTGAGTTGACAGGGCTATACTTTTTTGCAATTGCCTTTTTTTAAGGGGGTTGGGGGGTCACCGCTCTCTAGGAAACAAGATAACTTGGACTCGAATCACATTCCTATTATTTTCATTTGACTCCTGCTCCTTTCCCCCCTCCTCGCTCCTCCTCCTGATGATTCTGCTACTTTTACTGAACCATCTCTGCTCCTCCTGTGTCTTCCTCCCAACACCAATTAGTATATACACACACGATAAACAATGTTATTTTATTCATATTAATCTAATAATCACCATATTATAAGTACAACTCTATTAACTTTATTGTTTAAAGTTAATGAGGGGAGAAGAGGGAACAGAAAAGATAAGAGGAGCATGGAAGGGAGGAGAGAAGAGGGGCACGGGAACGAGTGAAGATGGGTAGGGAAGGAAGAAAAAAGAAAGGAATGAAGCGAGAAAAACAGGAAATGAGAGGATAGGATAGGTTGGGAAAGCTATGCAGGAGGGGTATAAGGGAAAGTGAAAATGAATGTAATGAGGGGAAGGAAAGAAAAATGGCGTGAAAAATGAGGGAAGGGCAGTGAAATAAGGTGACGGGGGGTGGGATGACTGACATAATGGCAGCTCCAATTCCACGAATCAAGAGCCCTTCGCCGGAATCAACGCTCTCCTCAAGAACGGGGAGTTATTAAGAGTCAAGTAGAAGGAAGTCACAACTTAAATTCAGTGGTTCCCAACCTTTTCACCAACGGACGAGCCTGGCCCATGCCCGGGCTCCTGGAGTAGTAAGACTATCGCAATTCATCAACGGTAAGATAAGGACATCTTTGATTTCAATTTTCCCAAGGACCTCGGGTTTTTGTAAGGTCTGTCTACTCAAAGACGATTTTACTAACTACCAACAAACTGGTTTTCCCAGTTTCCTCTCTGAATTGAAAGACATACGTAGCTGTATTGAAAGAACTTGTTTAATGAGATGGTTGATGTTGCTTTGAAATTCTGAACTTAGTTTACTGACCCCCAGGAGTCCGCGAACCACAGTTTGTGAACCTCTGACTTAGAAGGAACGTAACATGAGTACTCACGCTCTCTCCTGATTATCTAGATGGATGACCAGTTCGTCCCTCTTGTTGACAATGGTCACCAACTCCTCCAGCAGTAACTTTTCCCTCAGCTTCTGCGCCTCCGTCTTCTGCCAGTCTGTCAAGGAGGAGAATCTCGCATGAGTTTCTTCCTATCTTCAAGACGCCCACTGACGGGCTCCGTAAGAACATACAAGTAGGTCAAGGTACCAATAAATACAGCTGGGGGGGGTGAGGGGGGATGTAATATTAATGTACATAGATCGAAACAATATGAAACAAAAATAAAAACACAAACTAATCCAAACAACACGAATATAAACAGGTTGAAACATTACGAGCGTAAAGATCAAAATAATACGAATGCAAAGAGATCGAAACACTACGAACGTAAACCGATCGAAATGCTAAGAAATGTAAATCGATCAAAACGCTACGAACGTAAACCGGTCGAAACGCTGCAAACATAAATCGATCGAAACGTTACGACCGTACAGGATCAAAGCAATACGAATTTAGAGATATCGAAATAGTGCAAAAGAAAACAGACTGAAACAACAATAAGAACGAAGATATAAAAAAAAATACGAACCTAAAAAATGAAAAAATACGAACGAATATATCGTAATACGAACGAAGAAAAAATACGAATCTAGATATAGAACCAATCATACGAATGAAAACAGATCAAAGCAACACAAACGTAAATAGACTGACACAAAATTACGAGCGAAAACATATCCAAACATTACAAAGGTAAACAGATATAAACAACGACAATACGAAGTTCAACAACACAGGTGTAACAGCAAATTGGAACATAAGGTGAAACAATACTGTGAACGTAAACAAAAGACACAGCAAACTATAACACTGAAATTAACCTGCCCTAAGTTTTTTTTATTAAAAGTGTTTATATTATTATATATATTATTCTATGTATAATATATATATATATATATTTATATATATATATATATATATATATATTATATATATATATATATAACTACGAAACAAGTGGTAGTGAAACATTTATCAAACTGCAGTCACCCGGGATTAGATCCTGCGACACATTCTTCCACCTCAAGAGACAGAACAACGTTCACATTGCCTTACCCACTTGACCAGCGATCCTTGATAGATCACGCACCCAGCAGGGCTAGGTGATGCTCATGATCCGAGGACACTCGTGGTAGTGGTAAACTCAAGGTTAATTTCCACCACCTCCGGTGTAAATACCAGCCTTCACAAACAGTTTATAAAATTAATGACACCACAAAACAAGTAACATTAGCTGCAGTTTGGTAAATGTTACAATACCACTTGTTTTGTGGTTTCATTACTACATAAACTGTTTGTGAAGGCTGGTATTCAAACGGGAGATGTTTGAAATTAGCCTTGAGCTTACCACTACCACGAGTGTCATCAGATCATGAACACCGCCTAGCTCTGCTGGGTGCATGGTCTTTGAAGGATCGCTGGTCAAGTGGGTAAGGCAATGTGAGCTTTCTGTCTCTTGAGGCGTAAGAATGTGTCGCAGGATCTAATCCTGGCTGGCTGCAGTTTGGGGTGTGTGTATATACATAAATTACTGTAATCACGAACGAGTGGCATTAACAACAAAACTGCGACTAGCCAAGGATTCGAACCCATATCGTTTTGGCCCACCTCAGGGTGAGCGAAAATTCACGATGTTCTAACCCACGGGACCATACAATCCTACAGAAATCACGCACCCAGCAGAGCTAGGTGTTGTACTGTGATCCGAGAACATACGATGGTGTGGGTGTTTCAGAGCTAATTTCATCCTCCTTCCCGTTTGATGTACTAGCCTCCATGAGCAGTATACATAGTACTGTAACCACAAGTGGTATTTAATCAATAACAACACTGCGACTAGCCGAGGATTCGAACCTGTGTTGTTTTAGCCCGCCTGGATGCGTGATATTTGTAGGATTGTATGGTCCCGTGGGTTAGAGCGTCGTGAATTTTTGCTCACCATGAAGCGGGCTAAAACAACGCTGGTTCGAATCCTCGCTAATCGCAGTGTTATTTATTAAATACCACTTGTTCGTGGTTACAATACTAATTATATATATATATATATTATATATATATATATATATATATATATATATATATATATATATATATATTATTATATATATATATATGTCGTGCCGAATATGTAAAACTGATCAATTAGCAAGAACTCATTTAAAATTAAGACCTTTCTAAAATTTTCTCTTATACATTTAAAGATATATTTTTTTCATTAATGTTAATGTAAATATTTTTAACTTTGCTCCAAAAAAATCTTAGAAAACTTACCTAACCTTATTATAACAAGAACAATTTATTTTAGCCTAACCCAACTAAATATATTTTAGATTTGTTTACAATAATTTAATATTAAACAAACACAGTGAAATATATTTTTTTCGTTAGGTTCAGAATGATTTTGGCGAAATTATTGCATACACAAATTTTCGCTTGTCCTATATGGCAAGATGAACGTTGCTATTTAAGCCAAGATCGCAAGTTCTGCCTATTCGGCACGAACACAACATCACACTACATATATATATATATTATATATATATATATATATATATATATATATATATATATATATATATATATAATTATACATATATAATCTCGTGTGTGAGTAAAACAATCGCAGACAGGCGATCATAACAATGCAAGACAAGCCACGGGGAGGGGGGGAAGGGGGTGGAAATCTTTAGGTGAAGTACTTTCACACATCTCAGTGCGTCATCAGGAGCTGTGCAATGTTGCAAAGGCAGGAAAGGAGAAGTAGGATAAGTTTTCAGAGTATGGTAGTGTGGAGACACTAGCCAGTCTCTCTCTCTCTCTCTCTCTCTCTCTCTCTCTCTCTCTCTCTGAGAAAGTGCCATTAAAAAAATGAAAGTTTTGACTAAAATAAAAGCGAGAATTTTTTCTTAGTGGAGGTCGAAAGGGAGATAGGCTGGGTCGTGAGGGAGGAGACGACAGGCTGGGTCGTGAGGGAGGAGACGACAGGCTGGGTCGTGAGGGAGGAGACGACAGGCTGGGTCGTGAGGGAGTAGACGACAGGCTGGGTCGTGAGGGAGGAGACGACAGGCTGGGTCGTGAGGGAGGAGACGACAGGCTGGGTCGTGAGGAGGAGACGACAGCTGGGCGTGAGGGAGGAGACGACAGGCTGGGCGTGAGGGAGGAGACGAAGGCTGGGTCCGTGAGGGAGGAGACGACAGGCTGGTCGTGAGGGAGGAGACGACAGGCTGGGTCGTGAGGGAGGAGACGACAGGCTGGGTCGTGAGGGAGGAGACGACAGTGGGGTGTGAGGGAGGAGACGACAGGCTGGGTCCGTGAGGGAGGAGACGACAGGCTGGGTCGTGAGGGAGGAGACGACAGGCTGGGTCGTGAGGAGGAGACGACAGGCTGGGTCGTGAGGGAGGAGACGACAGGCTGGGCGTGAGGGAGGAGACGACAGGCTGGGTGCGGAGGGAGGAAGTCGGAGAGAGCGCTGGGTCGTGAGGGAGAGACGACAGGCTGGTCGGAGGGAGGAGACGACAGGCTGGGTCGTGAGGGAGGAGACGACAGGCTGGGTCGTGAGGGAGGAGACGACAGGCTGGGTCGTGAGGGAGGAGACGACAGGCTGGGTCGTGAGGGAGGAGACGACAGGCTGGGTCGTGAGGGAGGGGACGACAGGCTGGGTCGCGAGGGAGGAGACGACAGGCTGGGTCGTGAGGGAGGAGACGACAGGCTGGGTCGTGAGGGAGGAGACGACAGGCTGGGTCGTGAGGGAGGAGACGACAGGCTGGGTCGTGAGGGAGGAGACGACAGGCTGGGTCGTGAGGGAGGGGACGACAGGCTGGGTCGTGAGGGAGGAGACGAGGCTGGGTCGCTGAGGGAGGGGACGACAGGCTGGGTCGTGAGGGAGAGCAGGCTGGGTCGTGAGGAGGACGACAGGCTGGGTCGCGAGGGAGGGGAGACGACAGGCTGGGTCGCGAGGGAGGAGACGACAGGCTGGGTCGCGAGGGAGGAGACGACAGGCTGGGTCGCGAGGGAGGAGACGACAGGCTGGGTCGCGAGGGAGGAGACGACAGGCTGGGTCGCGAGGGAGGAGACGACAGGCTGGGTCGCGAGGGAGGAGACGACAGGCTGGGTCGCGAGGGAGGAGACGACAGGCTGGGTCGCGAGGGAGGAGACGACAGGCTGGGTCGCGAGGGAGGAGACGACAGGCTGGGTCGCGAGGGAGGAGACGACAGGCTGGGTCGCGAGGGAGGAGACGACAGGCTGGGTCGCGAGGGAGGAGACGACAGGCTGGGTCGCGAGGGAGGAGACGACAGGCTGGGTCGGAGGGAGGAGACGACAGGCTGGGTCGCGAGGGAGGAGACGACAGGCTGGGTCGCGAGGGAGGAGACGACAGGCTGGGTCGCGAGGGAGGAGACGACAGGCTGGGTCGCGAGGGAGGAGACGACAGGCTGGGTCGCGAGGGAAGGAGACGACAGGCTGGGTCGCGAGGGAGGAGACGACAGGCTGGGTCGGAGGGAGGAGACGACAGGCTGGGTCGCGAGGGAGGAGACGACAGGCTGGGTCGCGAGGGAGGAGACGACAGGCTGGGTCGCGAGGGAGGAGAAGACAGGCTGGGTCGTGAGGGAGGGGACGACAGGCTGGGTCGTGAGGGATGAAGACAGGCTGGGTCGTGAGGGAGGAGACGACAGGTGGGTCGCGAGGGAGGAGACGAAGGCTGGGTCGCGAGGGAGGAGACGACAGGCTGGGTCGCGAGGGAGGAGACGACGGCTGGGTCGGAGGGAGGAGACGACAGGCTGGGTCGGAGGGAGGAGAGACAGGCTGGGTGGAGGGAGGGACGACAGGCTGGGTCGGAGAGGAGGGAGAGGGGAGTGGGAGGGAGGAGAGAGGAGGGGGAGGGGAGAAGTGGGTGAGGAGAGGGGAGCGGGGGTGAGGGAGGGAGAGGAGGGTGAGGGTAGGAGGGAGGGGGAGGGGAGGGGAGAGGGGAGGGGGAGGGGAGGGAGAGGAGGGAGGGGGGAGGGGAGGGGGGAGAGGGGAGGGAGGGAGGGGGAGGGGAGGGGAGGAGAGGGGAGGGGG